CCCCCCCCCCCCCCAACCCCCCCCAACCCCCCCCACAAAGAGATGCGCCTATTCGGTCCTCGCGGAGCATTTCAGACACTGGCCGCGCTTCTTTCTGAACTGCAGCGAGCGGTTGTTTCAGAGGTCGCATGGCTTGCCCACAGAGCGGGTAGCGCCCGCGATGAGTCTGGTAGCGGAGCATCTCAGACACTGGCCGCGCTTCTTTCTGAACTGCAGCGAGCGGTTGTTTCAGAGGTCGCCTGCCCGCCTCGCGCAGTGCGGAGGTCGGTAGCACCCGCAATGAGCCCAGGCCCAGGTCGCTTGCCCGCCTTGCACAGTGAGGAGGTCGGCGGCACCGCACTACTGGTGTTGGTTCCAAAGCCTCAAGCCTATCCCGGTCTGAGAGCCTTTGCCACCACGCCGCCAGACGTGTGGCTCGAGAAGCAGACGCCATGGCCAGTTCCCAGTCATCCTCGTCGTCTTCCGAGGAGGAGGTGGAGGTGGCGGAGCCAAAGCCAGACTGGCTAACGACGGAAGACGCCTCCGCGCGAAGCCTCGTCTTCCTCATCACTTTTGCTGGCATCTTGGAAGAGACTGCGCTGAAGGCGGACAGACCACTCAGGACTCTAGCCGACCTCACACGTGCAGACATCAAGGATGCCGTTCTGGATGCCGTGGCGAATCCCACACAGGAGACATCCCAGCAAGGTGGCCGTCCTCGGTCGAAGTCGCTGGAGCCACAGAAGCTGGTGGTCTTCCTTGAGGAGCCTCGCCACTTCCATGTTGCGCTGCGGCTGAATGCCATCACGCGCTTCCTCCCGTTGAAGATGTCCTTGCGTCAGCGGTCCGGCCTCGCATCCCACTGGAGCACGTCGCACACGCAGTGGTGGAGCGCAGTCCGGTATGGTGTTTTTGCCACAGAGCACAAGCCCGTCGTTGACCAGCAGCCACTAGTGTGGGTGAAGGCAGGCGGGGCGCTAGAGCCGGTGCAGGCTGGTCCTGGGCAGTGCTTGGAGCACAAGGTGGCAGGAACGGACAGGGTCGCTGTCAACCTCTATGAAGAAGCGCAGGAACCGTTCAATGCTGCTGTCTGGACCAAGCGCCGGCAGAAGGCGGAAGCGGTAGCTGGCGGCCAGATGGTGGCCTCGGCAACTGGCAAGAAGGCAAAGGTGGACAAGTTCACCCCGCTGGAC